CCCCAAAACCCCAAAACCCCAAAACCCCAAAACCCCAAAACCCCAAAACCCCTTATTAGGAAAAATATTTGAAATAATTATGGAAGATTTTGACTTGCTTTATTTGATAAAAACACCATTTTACCTTGGGAATCCTTCCAAAGCTCAAAGCGAAGCTGAAGACCTCGAAATAGATGAATCTGATACAAAGAATGAAGAGCTTAAAAACTTCTTCCTTATCAGGATCCTTCTTGAATTAGGAGATTTGCCAAAGCTTAAAGCATTTATGTCAAAAATCTATGAGAAAAATGAGAAAATGGTTATGCTCAGTGGCCAGATGATTCAATATTTCATTTCTGAAAAGGCAGATAGCAGCATTGATGAAGAAATTGAGACTGCAAAGAAGTCTCTGACAACTTATCCAATCTCACATCTTACAATTTTGGCATACATGACATATCTGACTGGGGATTACGATAATTTATTCTTTTTGACCAGTAAGACCAAGAACCTAGAGCTCTTATCAATTAAGTTCTGAGGGTTCCTTCAGATCTTCAGATACGACCTTGCCAAAGAAACTCTGAACAAAATGTCAGAAGTAGATGATGACAATTGACTTACATCAATTTGTGAGATCCTTCTCGGATTTACAGGTAAGTTCTCTCGCTAAATTTTATAGCAAAGGACTCAATAGATAAGTGTAGGGAAAAAGTAGTTGAAATGGCTAATAAGAATGACAAATACACCTTGAAGATCTACACTCTTCTGGCTTTGACTCGCATGAGAGAAAATAAATTCCAGAATGCATTCAAAATCTTCTCAAAAGCATTGGAAACTCTGAATGTATTAACTGATCACACTGAGTATGCGAAATATAGCACAAAGAACAACTCTGACACCATCTGCTTCTGAGTAAATTACCTGAAGTGAAGCAAGATCTTGTACATGCCAACATCAGACACTTCTGAAAAGATAGAGAAACTGTTGAAGGTGGTCAGTCCTAACCATCCTTATTTCACAGAGCAGGAAGCAGCCAACGAGTTGTTCGATGAAGCTATACTTGAGTAAATGGCAAGGAAAATATCACAATTCTTCATAAAAGAATCCAAAGGAAAGCTCAATAGCTTAAGCTGAATATGGGGTTTTGGGGTTTTGGGGTTTTGGGGTTTTGGGG